TATATATATATATATATATATATATATATATATATATATATATATATTATTTGTATGGAAAAGAGTATAGTTGATCCAACGAGAGAAAAAAGTGAGAAACCGCAAATGTATTTGGTTATAATTTGGATTTTCACAGTTTGTTAGATGGAATGACATGCTTAGATTCCCGAATTCCGAATCGAACGCTTTATTTCTTCCACCGAGTGTTCTAGTTCCACATGCCATGCCTCTTATGGATATCTATGTTTCAGTTTCAGTTAATTCCCTTTTGTAACTCCAAGTTTTTTTTTTATTCATCTCTGCTGTGGTCAGGTATTGAACACACAACTATTTGTGTTAAGTTATTAGATTACTTCATCCAACACTATTATCCATTAGGCCATGTGAACTTGAGCTATTCAAATCACTTGAAGAAGGCAGAAGCGTACAACGGCCGAAACACCGTGCTTATGGCAACAAAGATGAGGACAACAGCCATAACAATGTAAATTGTGTAAATAATTACCATACCGATTCTCAGAAATATAGACAGATATCTTCATCTTTGTTGTTACTGTCACAACGTTTCGGCTACTTTATTCTGTGATAAAAAAAGCCTAAACCAGGTATTGGCAACTCTTTGCTAACTATGTGCCGACATAGGGTTTTAAAATCATTCAGTGTGACAATAGTATACGTATTTTTATTATATTTTTCAAGATCAATATACCAGTTCTACAATAGATTTTATAAAGTAATATATAGTATATATATACTTTAGTATATATTAAAATTGAAACAGCTAATTATCTTTGCGTTGTAGTAGTTATTGGTTCGGATTTCGTGATATCATTTGCAGCTGCGTACCATTGGAAATTGCTTGCCGTGCCACACGTGGCACGCGTGCCGTAGATTGCCGACCCCCGCTATACACTATTGTTCGAGAGTATGATACTCGATGGCTGTATTGTCATTGTGAACTTTACATTATAAATTCCAGATTAAAGTAATCAATATCTAAGCGAATGCCTTACCGTATCGTAATGTTTAATAATCTAGAGCTGCAGAAAATTATTTCTGATTATTTGACCTTTGTAGAGAGGTTAAAATTTGTTGAATGTACAGTGTAACCCGGATATAAGAGAGTTGTCGGGACCGGAGAAGGCGGCTCTTATATCCGGGTTTCTCTTATATCCGGGTTTAGTCTATTTTATATACATTAACACAGGCTCTAATTTGGGACCAGAGAAAATCTCTCTTATATCCGTGTTTCTCTTATATCCGGGTCTATTATATCCGGGTTTCTCTTATATCCGGGTCTCTTATATCCGGGTTTCTCTTATATCCGGGTCTCTCATATCCGGGTTACACTGTATCATATTTTTGACTCGATGTTAAAATAGTTCATCATATATAAGAGCCTTCTCTCAGTTGCTAATATTTACAGAAATTATAATGGCTTTTGAAATCATTCAGTATAAGTATTTTTATACAAGTCAAAGTCAATATACCTGTTCTACAATATATTTTATATAGTAATATATAGTATATATACTTTAATATATATTAAAATTGAAACAGTTAAATATCTTCTTTGAGAGTGACGACCATTTTTCCAGAATTCTTAGCAATGGATCGTATATCTGGGTTAAGGTCAGGGGTGAACTTGAGTCCCAATGGTCAAAATAAGAGGTCGGCAATCTTTTGCTGACTATATGCCGACTTAGGGTTTTAAAATCGTTCAGTCTGCCAACAGAATATGTATTTTTATACAAGTCAAGGTCAATATAAATGTTCAACAATATATTTTATAAAGTAATGTATAGTATATATACTTTAGTATATATTAAAATTGAAACAGCTAATTATCTTCTTTGCGTTGTACTACTTATTGGTTCAGGCTTGGTGATGTCATTTGCGGCTGCGTGCCATTGGGAATTTCTTGGCGTGCTACGTGTAACACACGTGCCGTAGGTGGCCGATCCCTGGCCTAGAGGATCAAAACGTTAGGTTGAAACTTTTGGGGCATAGTAATTGAGAGTTCAATCCCTGGACCGGGTAATTTGAGTCTCAGCCTCATTGGAAAGAAGGAGAGAAATAAGTGATCTGTACTAGGAAAAAAAAAAGAAAAGAAAAAATCAGAACAAGAGGAGATATTTGGCATCATAGAGAGCGGAATGGTAATAATCTACTGTCGAAGATTAAAGAAATGGCCCGATTCGAAATTCCCAGAAAGTTACTCAGATCCTCAGACACAAAGGTCGAAGACATAATGTCTGAAACATTTGATAGCAACAACAAAGATGAGGATATTTGTCATGCATATAGTGTAGATAATGATAGCTCCTCATTCCAGAAAGCCAAAACTTTGTGATAATGACAAGAAAGGATATTAATATGACTGTAGATAATATTAATAATGATAATTCCTCATCCAAGGAAGCCAAAATTTTATGATAATAACAAAAAAGATGAGGATATTAGTCTGACTGACAATAATGATAATTCTACATACCAGAAACCCTAAACATTGTGATAATAACCACAAAGACGAAGATATTGGTGTTAATGTAGATAATGTAAATAATGATAATTCCTAATCCCAGAGGGCTCAAGTTTTGTGATAATAACAAAAAAATCTGTCTATATTTCTGAGATGAGGTATTATGTACATTATTTACATTATTCGGACTATTGTCCTCATCTTTGTCGCCATATTTATTACAACGTTTCGGCCTTTCAGTATCTGTCTATATTTCTGAGATGAGGTTATTATGTACCCTATTTACATTATTCGGACTATTGTCCTCATCTTTGTCGCCATATTTATCACAACGTTTCGGCCCTTCAGTATCTGTCTATATTTCTGAGATTAGGTATTATGTACACTATTTACATTATTTGTACTATTGTCCTCATCTTTGTCGCCATATTTGTTACAACATTTCGGCCATTGTACGCTCCGGCCTTCTTCAGGTGGTTGGAATGTAGAACTGAAACCTTTATTTCGCTCACTGGGGTAGAGTGTTCTAGTTCCACGCGCCATGTTTAATGGATGTCAGTTATCTTCTGTTAATTCCCATCTCCAAGTTATCCACTGCCTTAACCGGGTATTGAACTCACACTCTTTGGATCCTGTCACTGGATCTAACTAACACCTTTATCCACTGTGCCATGCGTCCTTGAGGTGTTTTATTATTTGTATGAAATCAGTTTTGCCGTATTAAATGATCATTTTCTTTTTTTTTTACAGTAATTTTTTACCCTGTACAAGGCCAGGGAGCCACTCAAGGTAGAGAGTTACTTTAAGGGTTAGTTTATATGGATAGGAGGGGGAATCTAACGGTTAGCTCTAGACTTGAACAGATTAAGACTGTTGTGATCGGGGAAACATCCCCTTGGGAGTCTGTTTCACGGGGCAGTACTTCGCGAAATGAAGTTGTTTGAGTAGAACTTACTTTTCGCCGATGGAATGCGATTGAGAAGTTCTTACAAAAATAAATTACCAGACTGGGGTGGGAATAATATCGGGGTAGAGTGGAATTTTTAAATTAAGAAAAGAGAAGATTCGTTTATCAGAAATCCGGGAATTCGCTTACTTTATTCTTATCAAATTGGGTTTGTAACTGTGTTCTGCATTTTTTCTTTCTTTTTTTTTTTTTTTTTTTTTAAGCATTTCACCCAAGCAAGGCGGGAGTGCCACTAGCACGCAAGGGGTTACAGAGGATTGAGAACAAGAGTAAAAAAGGCGTGTTTGAGGAAAGGATATAGAGAAGGACCATGGCATCGGAAGATGTCGATTGACATTACATTTGAATATTATAGCTATCAGGTAAGCAAGTATGAGGAAGGGAGTTCCGTTGTCGAGAAGTGCGAGGGAAGAAGCTGTTAGAGTAGAAGAGACGGCGACATTTAACTGTTTCGGCAGTGAAAGGGTGGGACCGAGATGCCAACCTAGTAGCACGCTTAAATTCATACAGTCGGGCCAGAATGAAATTAGCTCGTTAGAGCAGTTACCTGGAAAATATTTGTAGAAAAGACAGAGGGAAACAACGGCACGTCTGTGAGAAAGTGACTGTTGATGAGATGCCAGATCAGGACCTATCACATTGCATATCTGTCTCTGGATTTTGTCGAGGACCTCGAGATGAACAGCAGGGTCACCGGACCATATATATATATATATATATATATATATATATATATATATATATATATATTAAGCATTACACCCCGAGCAAGGCGTGAAGCTACTAGGATGCAGAAGGGTTGGAGTGAGAGCAGATAGGAGTGATAGAAGAAAGGATGAGGAGAGGGATAGTGGATAGATCAAGGTAACTGGACATGTCCATTGACATTACATTTGAATAGTTGGAGATTATAGCTCTCAAGGAAACAGTAATAGGGAAGGGTGTTCCACAGGCGAGAGGTGCGAGATATGAAGCTATTGGAGTAGAAGAGACGGCTACATTTAAAAGTGGCAACAGTATTCAATGCAAAGACGATTGATAGATGTGTACATCTAAAGGATGGACTCAGACTAGAAAAAACTTCTGGCTCGACACAGAGTACCAACTTTCCTTGCATTTTCTCGAAAATATTTGGTAATACATCGTCTCTGAGTACCCAAGTTTTTCATATTCATTTATTTTTTAACAGATCAAAGGGTTAATAGATCTTTGTACTTGACAATGTAAGTATTTTAATATATACGTAACAGTGTGCATGTAAATATAGTTCTGTAAAGCATACACGTGTCCCGGATGTGTGTGCGTTTTTTGTGCGCATGCGTTTATGTGCATGTATTTGTGCTCACATATATGTGTGTGTGCGCGCGCGTGTGGTTGCATGCTGAAATATGGCGTTAGGCGGGAACGTGGCTGTAGTGGAGTAAGGGAATAGGAGAATTTGTTGCATGTTCCAATGAGTCACATTGAAATATCAACCCTACCCACTTCTCAAATTCACCGTAAGCCCTTCACCAGATCTCAACCACCACCACACCCACACTTCAACATTCAATGTACAGCACCCCAACCCCTCCCCGACGTCCATCCTGTTATGATACAGGCTGTCAGTTTTCGGCAGAGGAGTCTTTGCCTTTCCTTCATTTTATTCTCGTTCCCATCATCACCGTAACTCAATTAATAATCCATTTCCTCATGCTACTTGGGATTTCTGCTTCAGACATCAAGATATGCCGCCACATCACCTACATAAAATACTAACAATTCGAACATTTTTTTTTTCTTCTTTAAACTTCTCTTTTTTTAAAAAAACTTTGTCTCCTCTTCTTTTTAATTTTACTTTTTATACCCTCTGTTATTTGCCATTTTTTTCTTCTGTGCAACCTTTTATCATCGATAATAATTCTAAAAATATGGCGCAAAGGGATAAAATGTGGAGGGGTATATATAAAATTGGCGAACCGAGATCAAATACAAGCTGAAACACTTTGCCTTCACTAACGATTATACCGCTTCGGAAAGAGAATGTATCATTTTTGCCAGCCATGAACTCTCGGTAAAATTGGATAGAATTGGAATCACCTACCGTCGGGAATGAAATTCATCTAAGAAAAGAACAATTCTGAATTCAAAACTACAGACAAGACAAATGGAAACCATTCCATTGTCTTTCCTGAGATTAAAAATAAAAAAAAAACACAAGCGAATGATCTGCGAGGCTAGTTGAATATTATTATTATTATTTCTTTTGATTTCTGGCGTTTACACATTTCTTTCCGGGACCCGCCCAGGGACCTAAGGTTAGAAATGGCATCATGACACTTTCCACTGACAAAAGAAAAAAAAAATAGAAAATTTTACATAGATAAAGCCCCTTTGCAAAGTGTAAAACAGAGTGAGAACAATTTTTTGTATCTCTTTGAGGCATGGACTTCCAGGAATCCCTTCAATGTGTCTACTGTAATCTTTTCATTGTTGATGTTCCCATGTGCCAGATTATTATTATTATTATTATTATTATTATTATTATTATTTTTTTTGATTTCTGGTGTGTATACATTTCTTTCCGGGTCCCGGCCAGAGACCTAACGTCAGAAATGGCATCATGACATTTTCCACTGAGCAATAATAATAAAAACAAACAAACACATATTTTACATAGATACAGCTCTTCGTAGTGTTTGCTGTACTTGTTAGAACAATTTTTTGTATCTCTTTGAGGTATGGACTTCCAGGAATCCCTTCAATGAGTCTACTGGAATCTTTTCCAACCAGTCCTAGGGCTCCAACTACAACAGAGATTGTTGATGTTCCCATGTGTCACATTTTTGAGATTTCTATTTCAAGGTCCTTATATTTTGACAGCTTTTTGAAGATCTTCAAAGGTATATTGCAGTCTGCAGGGACTGTCATATCAATAAAGAGGCAAGTATTATTATTATTATTATTATTATTATTATTATTATTTATTTTCTTTGATTTCTGGCGTTTACACATTTCTTTACGGGTCTCGCCCAGGGACCTAAGGTTAGAAATGGCATCATGACACTTTCCACTGACAAAAGAAAAAAAAAAATTACATAGATAAAGCCCTTCGTAAAGTGTGAGCTGTACTTGTCAGAACAATTTTTTGTATCTCCTTGAGGCATGGACTTCCAGGAATCCCTTCAGTTATTATTATTATTATTATTATTGTTATTATTATAAATAGACCTATTCGGACGAGCGTCTTCATCATATACACAGCGTTTCTCCTATTTCTGAGATGAGAAATTATCATTCTTATACAATGATCTATTGAAACGAGTGTCCTCATCTTGATTGTTTACTTATAATGCGTTGGTCATTTATAATATAATGATTCATCATTTATCATTGATCTATTCGGACTAGTGCTTTCGTCTTGATTATTATTCTAGCAAATATGGTGGCTGTTTCGAAAGATATCTAATTATTATTCATTCTTTTTTTTCTCTCTACCTCTTTTCTTTTTCTATCTTTTTCCTTCTCATTCTTTCCTCTCTCTCTCTCTCTTCCTTTCTCATTCTTTTTCTCTCTCTCTCTCTCTTCCTTTCTCTCTTTTTGATCTCTTTTCTTCATCCTTTCTTTCTGTCTCTCTTTTTTTTCTACGCTCTTTTCTTTCTCTTTCTTTTTCTCTCTCTCTCTCTTCCTTTCTCATTCTTTCTATCTCTCTCTCTCTCTCTCTCTTCCTTTCTCTCTTTTTGATCTCTTTTCTTCATCCTTTCTTACTGTCTCTCTTTTTTTCTACGCTCTTTTCTTTCTTTTTCTTTTCTCTCTCTCTCTTCCTTTCTCATTCTTTATCTATCTCTCTCTCTCTCTCTCTCTTCCTTTCTCTCTTTTTGATCTCTTTTCTTCATCCTTTCTTTCTGTCTCTCTTCTTTTTCTACGCTCTTTTCTTTCTCTTTCTCATACTTTCTTCTTTCTCATTGTTTTATTTCAAAATCATTATCCGATTTAGACTCCCAGGCGACGACTTCTCAGTGGTAGCATAATTAAAAAGATAAAAAAACAACCCCCCAGTCAAAAAAAATATTGCAAATAAGAAAAAAATAAAACCCCATCAAAAATAATATAACATTTAGAAAATTTATATTAGTTTCTGTCTATATTTCTGAGATGACGTATTATGTACACTATCCGGACTCATCTTTGTCGCCATATTTATCACAACGTTTCGACCGTTGTACGCTCCGGCTTTCTTCAGGTGGTTGGAATGTAGAACCGTACCATTTATTTCGCTCACTGGTGTAGACTGTTCTAGTTCCACGTGCCATGCCTAATGGATGTTACTTATCAGTTATTCTCTATTAATTCTCCTCTCCCAGTTCTGCCTTAACCAGGTATTGAACTCACACTCTTTGGGTCCTGTGACTGAATCTAACCAATGCCTTTATCCACTGCGCCATGTGCCCTTGAGGACATCTGTGTATGAGTTTCTGGGTATTATAAACCTTATGTTATCAGCAACCGTTTTTTTTTTTTTTTTTGACCAGAGCTCTTATTGCAGTTTTCGTTGTTTTTATCGCTTTTCTCTGTCACTTCTTATTACTGGTTCCCAGATTGTATTCATTTCTAAAAAAAAAACGAATCAGTCAATCAATTTGTAGCCTATTATATATTATGTACATTATTTACATTATTCAGATTATTGTCCTCATCTTTATCGCCATATTTATTACAACATTTCGGCCGTTGTACGCTCCGGCCTTCTTCAGGTGGTTGGAATGTTGAACTGAACCCTTTATTTCATCACTGGGGTAGACTGTTCTAGTTCCACGTGCCATGTTTAATGGATGTCAATTATCAGTTATCTCCTGTTAATTCCCCTCTCCAAGGACACATGGCACGGTGGATAATGGCTTTGTTAGATCCAGTGACAGGATCCAAAAAGTGTGAGTTCAATACCCGGTTAAGGCAGTGGTGAACTTGGAGAGGGGAATTAACAGGAGATAACTGATAACTTGCCATGTCTAATGGATATCAGTTATCTCATGAGAAATTCCCTCTCAAAGTTCTCCACCGCCTTGACCAGGTATTGAACTCACACTCTTTGGGTTCTGTTACGGGATCTAACTAACGCCTTTATCCACTGTGGCATGTGTCCTTGAGAATAGTATTTAGTCACCCCCCACGAAGGCATCATGTGGCACAAGGCCGGTTTAATGTGGGATCTCCGAGCCCGTGGGCTCGGCCAAAAATATGCCCTTTGAACTCGTATAAACGGTTTCAGGGTCGGTTTACCTCCCCGAAAGAGACTCCGCCCTTCGGCGTAGCCTCGTTCAGGTTCCTCCCCGCCCGAAGGCAGAGAGTTCAACCGATCAGCCGATCAGCCGATTGCCCGACTTTTTGTGTTCTTCAGAACATCTGGGTATGAATTTCTGGGTATTACAAACCTAATGTTATAATTTATATTAGTTTGTCGTCATCAATTTGAATGTAGTTTTCTAATACTTATGATAAAATTTCCTATTATTGTGTTCAAACGTGTGTGTGTGTGTTTTTTTTTTTCTTTTTTGGGCAGTTTATTTAATATCAGAATGTGTAAATTTTATCTCAGTCAGTTTCTGGAATATGGAAGGACAATCGCTGAAGATGTTTATTACCAGCAACTAAATATTAGATCGACTGTATCTTGAATTGTTAAACAGAAAAGGGGTTATTCCACAGCATGAGCATAAAAGTAACAAACCCAAGACAAAAATGAGATTATTAGTAGGAGATTTGCATCTACATCCTCCATACTTACCAAAGTTCTATTTATTTCAATCACCAGAATATTCTGTAAATGGTAGAAGATTCAGAGACAAAGAAGCTGAAAACAGAGCTACAGAATATGCTGACCGCACCTCTGCAGAGGGGTAAGATCCCCACCCCGGCAAATGAGGCGTCCTGTGTATGACGATAAACTACATCCGACAGCAAAGCCTCTGACCAGTAGGTTTTGAGGATCATGGAACCACCTATTAATTGCTTGTGTTCCCAGGTCCACCCTAACCCTGGGTGGTAGCGCCTGTTAGGGTCCCAACTATCATAAAATAGTTAACCCCCAAAATTGGGATCAAATCAAAAAATTAAGGCTTCCATTATTTTTAGCCCCTTTTTTTTTGATAAACAAATGTAATAGCATCGTCTACATGTAAAAAGTCTAAAAAAAATGTTTCACACACACACAAAATATATATATATATATATATATATATATATATATATATATATATATATATATATATATGGTTCTTGAATGGACTTTGAAGATGGAAGACATTGTATGACTGCTGGTACCATTACTGAAGGCCGGAATGATCTTTTTCCTCTCGCCATTGCTCAGTTAGGAAGACACAGTGAGATCGAAACAAAATTATTTTAACCTGTTATATTTCTAGCTGAATAACAGAATAACGAAAAATGATGTCAAGATGACTAAAAGTCTTATTTGAAAACCTGGAAAAATGAAATTCTATTTTAGATATTAAACATTTTGTGAGATAGATAATTATCCCATGTTGTTACACGATTTGGACAACTTTGCTGTTACAACCGGTAAGCATTCAAATTTGAGTTATAAAGAAAAAGAAAATACTTGATATTGGCTGACATTATATATTCACTCCCCCAGAAATGGCAATATTTACTGATAGAACCATATAACAAGCGATTCAAATTTTTCTTTCTTTATAAAAGAATTGTTTCACATTCAACTTCATATAGGAGGGAAAATATATACCAATCATGATTTTTTTTTTACTTCGTCTCCTACAATGGTATTAAAATGCCATTAGAATACCATTGTAGGATTACCACAATTTTCTGACAGGAGACTTCTCTTAACACTCCCTAGGTGGCGTTGCAAAAATCAGAATAAAAGGAAAGAACGCAACCACTCTTTCTCCGTCTTTCCTCGCCTAAACGACAAGATGTCGGAGTAACAGGACATGTCTTGTTTCTTCTTCGAGGAGTCTTCTTAGCCTCTAAGCAAACCACGGATATTCGCGCCATTTCTTATTTATGTTGTTGTGTATATAAGTATGTATGTAATCAATGTAGATAAAATTAAGTGCGTTATTCTCTGGTTAATGTGTTTTAAAAAACGCTTTCTTCATCCTGAATGGGATAAGTCGTTTAAGTCCAATGTTCCTTGCTTGGGAATAGCGACGCGATCTCGTAAAAAAATTAGTAAAAGTCTATGAAATGTCAATAAACTCCAGAGACAACATTTCCTCCCGAATTGTAATTTAAGCACCAATCCTAACAAAAAGAATTTTATAAATGTCAGACCAGAACGAGGACAGCCTACCCCCAGAGATTAAATAAAGGCTTCTGTTCAGAATACCTGGGCAGGACAGTGTGTACTTGGACACATTGGAAACAAAGGAGAACAATAACTGAGCAGTACTAAAAATAAGAACTAGACGAGGTATCCCGACAGACATAGACAGTGGAATGAGAATAGTCTGACTCCATAAAATAAAGTGTTCAGTTCGGAATCCCTAGGACAGGCAGTGTTTACTTGGACTCGGTAAAAACAGGGTGAGCAATCACTGAGCAGTACTAAAAAAAGAACTAAACGAGATATCCCTTGACATGGTCAGTGGAACGAGAACTGTCTATCCCCATAGATTAAATAAAGGATTCAGTTCGGAATCCCTAGGCCAGGCAGTGTGTACTTGGACACATCGGAAACAAGGGCCAGGAATAACTGAGCATTAATAAAAATAAGACCTAGAGGAGTGTTATAGTTTCACAGTGGAGGCTTGTATTTCACTAAGTCGGTCCTAAAATTGGTTCGACCTACAAAACGTTAGGAACTTGATATAAGAGTTAATGACGCAACAATCTAGTTGTGGTGGCTGATACTTTAATATCCGACTAACGGTCGTCCGACATCGACTGACTGACCAACTCACTGAGCGACCCAGCGACTACTCCTCCTCCTACTTATTATAGGTGGGAGAGTCTATTAACTATAGAATAGGTGTGTTCCAGTATAACAAGGAGACATCCCTAGACATAGACAGTGAAACAAGAAGAGTCTACCCATGTAGATTAAATAAAGAATTCAGTTCGGAACTGGTGACAATAGTGATTCTAATTTCCTTCACTTAGGTGAGCTGTATGTACATGAATTCGATGGAAACAAGATCGAGCAATAATTGAGTAGTTCTAAAAATAAGAACTAGACGAAATATCCCTAAACATAGACAGTGAAACAAAAATATCTTTCAATATAAATCCATATATTTACAGTTTTTTGTTCCTGAGTCTACGGGACAATAGCCTAGTGGACTAAAGTATTCTTTCGTCATAGTGATATGGTAATTATGAGTTCAATCCTTGGGTCGGGCAGTGTTTATTTGAACTCAGTTGAAACACGTTGAGCAATAACTGAGAGGTACTAAAAATAAGAACGAAACGAGATATCCCGAGACATGGTCAGTGGAACGAGAACAATCTACCCCCCCCTAAATTAAATAAAGGCTTCTGCTTGGAATCCCTGCGGAGGGGAGTGTGAACTTGGACTCACTGGATACAGGGGTAAGCAATAACTGAGACATAGACAGTGAAACGATAAATGTCTACCCATGTAGAATAAATAAAGAGTTCAGTTCGGAACTAGTGACATAGTAATTGAGAGTTCCATCACTTGAGGGAGCTGTGTGTACTTGGACTCGATGGAAAGAGGGGCGAGAAATAACTGAACAGTACTAAAAATAAGAACTAGACGAAATATCCCGAGACATAGACAGTGAAACGAGAACAGTCTATTTCCGTAGATTAAATAAAGAGTTCACTTAGAAATCCCCGGGCCGGGCAATTTGTACTTGGACACATTGGAAACAGGAGAGGGTAATAATTGAGCAGTACCAAAAATAAGAACTAGACCTCCGTAGATAAATAAAGAGACATAGACAGTGAAACGAGAACAGTCCAAAATACCTATCCGAGACATAGACAGTAAATAAACAGTTCACTTAGAAAATCCCTTCGGGCCGGACAATTTGTACTTGGACACATTGGAAACAGGAGGGGTAATAATTGAGCAGTACCAAAAATAAGAACTAGACGAGATATCCTGAGACATAGACAGTGAAACGAGAACAGTCTACCTCCGTAGATTAAATAAAGAGTTCACTTCAAATCCCAGGCCGGACAATTTGTACTTGGACACATTGGAAACAGGAGAGGGTAATAATTGAGCAGTACCAAAAAATAAGAACTAGACGAGATATCCCGAGACATAGACAGTGAAACGAGAACAAAGTCTACCTCCGTAGATTAAATAAAGAGTTCAGACTTCAAAAATCCCGGGCCGGACAATTTGTACTTGGACACATTGGAAACAGGAGAGGGTAATAATTGAGCAGTACCAAAAATAAGAACTAGACGATATCCCTGAGACATAGACAGTGAAACGAGAACAGTCTACCTCCGTAGATTAAATAAAGAGTTCACTTCAAATCCCTGGGCCGGGCAATTTGTACTTGGACACATTGGAAACAGGAGGGTAATAATTGAGCAGTACCAAAAATAAGAACTAGACGAGATATCCTGAGACATAGACAGTGAAACGAGAACAGTCTACCTCGGTAGATTAAATAAAGAGTTCACTTCGAAATCCCTGGCCGGGCAATTTGTACTTGGACACATTGGAAACAGGAGAGGGTAATAATTGAGCAGTAAAAAAATAAGAACTAGACGAGATATCCCGACATTGAAACGAGAACAGTCAACCTCCCCGAGTTCAGAAATCCCCAGCCAGGACAATTTGTACTTGGACACATTGGAAACAGGAGAGGGTAATAATTGAGCAGTACCAAAAATAAGAACTAGACGAGATATCCTGAGACATAGACAGTGAAACAAGAACAGTCTACCTCCGTAGATTAAATAAAAGAGTTCACTTCAAATCCCCGGGCCGGGCAATTTGTACTTGGACACATTGGAAACAGGAGAGGGTAATAATTGAGCAGTACCAAAAATAAGAACTAGACGAGATATCCCGAGACATAGACAGTGAAACGAGAACAGTCTACCTCCGTAGATTAAATAAAGAGTTCACTTCGAAATCCCCGGGCCGGGCAATTTGTACTTGGACACATTGGAAACAGGAGGGTAATAATTGAGCAGTACCAAAAATAAGAACTAGACGAGATATCCCGAGACATAGACAGTGAAACGAGAACAGTCTACCTCCGTAGATTAAATAAAGAGTTCACTTCGAAATCCCCCGGGCAATTTGTAATGGACACATTGGAAACAGGAGAGGTAATAATTGAGCAGTACCAAAAATAAGAACTAGACGAGATATCCTGAGACATAGACAGTGAAACGAGAACAGTCTACCTCCGTAGATTAAATAAAGAGTTCACTTCAAATCCCCGGCCGGGCAATTTGTACTTGGACACATTGGAAACAGGAGAGGGTAATAATTGAGCAGTACCAAAAATAAGAACTAGACGAGATATCCCAAAGAGACATAGACAGTGAAACGAGAACAGTCTACCTCCGTAGATTAAATAAAGAGTTCACTTCAGAAATCCCTGGGCCAGGCAATTTGTACTTGGACACATTGGAAACAGGAGAGGGTAATAATTGAGCAGTACCAAAAATAAGAACTAGACGAGATATCCTTAGACATAGACAGTGAAACGAGAACAGTCTACCTCCGTAGATTAAATAAAGAGTTCACTTCCTGAAATCCCCGGGCCGGACAATTTGTACTTGGACACATTGGAAACAGGAGAGGTAATAATTGAGCAGTACCAAAATAAGAACTAGACGAGATATCCCGAGACATAGACAGTGAAACGAGAACAGTCTACCTCCGTAGATTAAATAAAGAGTTCACTTCGAAATCCCCGGCCGGGCAATTTGTACTTGGACACATTGGAAACAGGAGAGGTAATAATTGAGCAGTACCAAAAAAGAACTAAGAACTAGACGAGATATCCCTCCGAGACATAGACAGTGAAACGAGAACAGTCTACCTCCGTAGATTAAATAAAGAGTTCAGACTTGAAATCCGTAGATTAAACAGGCAGGGCAATTTGTACTTGGACACATTGGAAACAGGAGAGGGTAATAATTGAGCAGTACCAAAAATAAGAACTAGACGAGATATCCCGAGACATAGACAGTGAAACGAGAACAGTCTACCTCCGTAGATTAAATAAAGAGTTCACTTCGAAATCCCCGGGCCGGACAATTTGTACTTGGACACATTGGAAACAGGAGAGGGTAATAATTGAGCAGTACCAAAAATAAGAACTAGACGAGATATCCCGAGACATAGACAGTGAAACGAGAACAGTCTACCTCCGTAGATTAAATAAAGAGTTCACTTCAAAATCCCCGGCCGGGCAATTTGTACTTGGACACATTGGAAACAGGAGAGGGTAATAATTGAGCAGTACCAAAAAAAGAACTAGACGAGATATCCCTGAGACATAGACAGTGAAACGAGAACAGTCTACCTCCGTAGATTAAATAAAGAGTTCAGTCTTCAGAAATCCCCGGCCGGACAATTTGTACTTGGACACATTGGAAACAGGAGAGGGTAATAATTGAGCAGTACCAAAAATAAGAACTAGACGAGATATCCCGAGACATAGACAGTGAAACGAGAACAGTCTACCTCCGTAGATTAAATAAAGAGTTCACTTCGAAATCCCCGGGCCGGGCAATTTGTACTTGGACACATTGGAAACAGGAGAGGGTAATAATTGAGCAGTACCAAAAATAAGAACTAGACATCGGAAGAGGAACGAGAACAGTATGTCTACTTAAATGAAAAAAAAAAGTGAAGTCTTTATTTAATTGACGGGAGTAGATTGTCCGGAATTCCCACTACGTTAACTGGATAAATATACAACTGGTGAAGACCGTAGTTCGCAACAGCCGAAACGTTTAGGTAACAACAATAAAGATGAGGACAATAATCTGAATGTAAATAGTGAAAATAATGATAACTCTTTATTTTAGTGGTTCAGACAGAAACTATGATGGCGTGTCTGTCACAAGACCCAAGTTAACTTGCAGCATCTGACTGGGTTGACACCAGAAATTGTCCAGTTGCCTCGGCACTTACTATCTCGGGACGCATCAAAGATTTACACATTCTCCTCCCCAATTAAGTGCAATGGGAAAGATACACCTCGGAGATGCGACCCCCACCCGGTCTCGAAACTGAAATTAGATAACCCCCAAAAAACGAATCAATCTATTCAAACAAGAATGCTGATATTGTTTATTTTACTCATGACTTTTCGACCGATGCTTTCTCCGGCATTCTTCAAAAACGAAACTGATCTCTTTTAATCATCTGAGAGAACCATTCCCCATCCCCCAGATCTCATCACTGACAGAGCAGCTAATTTTTAAATACTTTAGAATAGTCGCAGATGTGGAGGACATAGTGAGGATTGAACTCACTATTCAGTGATTTGCAAAACACAACCGTTAATTCTACTGCAAGACAGCAAGGGTTTTAATGTTGTTAAGTCCGCTAACTTAGTTTAGTCTATATGATGAAAAAATATAGTTCTAAGTTACTGCGTCTGCTTGGCCTCACGTTTTCAACTGACTTGAAGTGAAGTGACTCCGTCGAATCAATAGCTGCATCTACTGCAAGGAAATTTGGTCCACTTTGTCGAGCTAGAAATATTTTCTCTTCAGAGTCCATCTTGCACATTTATAAATCTACCGTGTGTTTGTGCATTGAATACTGACGCCATATTTGGCCTGATGCCATGATGAAGATCTCGAGATTCTTTACTAAATCCAAAGAAGGATCTGAAATATAATCGATCCTGACTTGGCGTCTTGACTTCAGTTACCTTCTCATCGACTTGGCGTGGCTTCCCTTTGTCTTTTCTATAGATATTTTTATGCTAACTCTTCTGACGAGCTTTTTCCTCTGGTGCTCCAGGTACGTGAATTTAAACGTGCTACTAGATTGGCATCTAGGTCCCACCCGTTTACTGTTGAAATAGCTAAATGCAACGATCATTTCTACTCCAACAGTTTCTTTTCTAGCACTTCCCACCTGTAGAACTCCCTTCCGTTTACTTACTTCCCCGCTAAGTACAATCTTCAAAAGGTTAAATGCAACGTCAATTGTCATCTTCTATCTTCTTGAATTCCGTTCATCTTTCGTCCTTTCCTCAGTTCTCCCTATATTCAGTCTCCCTGTAACCCCGTGCGTACTAGCGGCATTTCCGCCTTGCTTGGGGTGAAATGATTTTAAAAAGAAATGCTATATTTATGGGTTAAAGTACTCAATATCAGTAAATATCATGTAAATATAAAATTTATTCAATAAAATCGCCACTGGCTTTAACCCCAGCAACTCTTCTGGACGATATCCTTGTTTAATTTGGTGAACGCTGTCATAATTTTTGCCTTCAGTTCATATTTGTTGTTAAAAGGACTTTTATTGGTCACTGGTTCAACTGCGACCCGCACATAAGAATCATGGGGGTTGCCGTCTGGGGTGTTAGGGGTACAGATATAAGGGGTGATGTGGTCACACAAATTGTCTGATAGCCATGACTACGCGTGTGGCATGGTGCAGAGTCCTGTTGTCAGACATATAGTCTTGCAGCAAACACCCACTTGACCCATGGCAGCACTATTTTCTAAAGGCAATTGATGTAAGACTCTGTGTTGTGTCTGAAGCCCCGTGGGAAGATGAATGGAGGCTTAAGGCCGCCATCTCGAATGCTCACTCCAAATACCTTCGTTATCACTATTATTAAACTCATTCCGAATCCTTTTCATTGTCCTCAGATTGACACCCAAACATTCTGAAATGTTTGTATTGGAGCTTTCGGTGCGAATGCCAAGAAGTACAGCATACCGTTTCCAAATTCAAAAAAAAAAAGCGCATGCGCGAAATTAAAAATACAGAATTGTGACAATTTATTCATTGCACTCGTATATACATAGATAGACAAAGATAAATAAAAATAGAAATTGTGATGGAGAAATTGTCTTCTAAATTACTCAAAAATGAAAATAACCCTGACATCTCATTTTAACAGATATAATTTACCAAATTTACAAAAAAATAACTTGTAATACTAAAGAGTAAATTTATTCAATAAAATCGCCATTGGCTTCAATCACGGCCTCCATACGCCTTCAGAATCTCCTGCAACTCTTCTGGATGGTCTCCTTGTTTAAGTTGATGAATACAGCCATAATCCTGGCCTTCAGTTCAACTTTGGTGTTACAAACAGTTTTGTTGGTCTCTCGCTTAACTGTGCCCCACACATAATAATCAAGGGGATTGCAGTCTGAGAAGTTAGGTGGCCAGATGTAAGGTGTGATGTGGCATGGTGCAGAATCCTCTTCACCCAGGATAGCACTAACTTCTCCTAACGTCTCATCTGAAAACCTGGAAAATAAACTCTGTTAGTTTAGTGGGGTTTTTTCTTTTCTATATTTTTCTTTTTTTTGTATAATCGTCCATCCCACAAAATGTTTAATATCTAAAAAGTTAGATATTAAACATTTTGTGGGATGGACATTATACAAATTGCACGATTTGGAGAATTTTGCAGTTAATGCACACAGTATATACATACATACATACATACATACATATATATATATATATATATATATATATATATATATAGAGAGAGAGAGAGAGAGAGAGAGAGAGTGTGTGTGTGTTATGGAGTAGTTTCACAGTGGAATCTTGTATTTGTACTAAGTCGGTCCTAAAAAGGTTCGACGTACAAAACGTTAGCAACTTGATATAACAGTTAATGACGCAGCAATCTAGTTGTGGTGGCTGATACTTTAATGTCCGACTAACGGTCGTCCGGGATCGACTGACTGACCAACTCGCTGAGCGACTTCACTCGTTACTCTTACTACTACTACTTATAGGTGGGAGAGTCTATTAACTATAGAATAGGTGTGTTCTGTTATAACAGAGACAGACAGACAGACACACACACACACACGGATAGATAGATAGATAGATAGATAGATAGATAGATAGATAGATAGATAGAGACAGAGAGAGAGATAGAGAGATAGACAGACAGACAAACAGATAGATAGACAGACAGACAGACAGATAGATAGATAGATAGATAGATAGATAGATAGATAGGCATACAGACAAACAGATAGATAGATAGACAAACAAACAGACAGATAGATAGGGAGATAGACTGACAGACAGACAGACAAACACATAGATAGATAGATAGATAGATAGATAGATAGATAGATAGATATCAAAAAAGGTTAAGTACCCTTTATCCGAATTTCCCAAATCTGAAATCAAATAGTCACTCCATATTATATAAGCAATGCACTATTTAGTGCATGATAATTTTTTGATGAAAAACTTGATCTAAATATTCAGTTGTCACGTTTCCCTCGTCTCATCGCATATCTCTCAAATTTCTTATAATCGCTCCAACAAGAAATAAGTAACATTTTTTGCTATGAAATTCTTTCTTTGAGAAAACCATTTCATGCCAGAAGTTCCCCAAACTGCTGGGTAGAACTACGAAAGTGCGTTTTTGATTAAGAATATTGCAAAACTGTCACTTAGAATGGTTTCTCGCGTCTAGACTCCCCATTCTCTTTACTCATCCCTTGAATTCTGTCTGGGATTACATCCACGGTGCCCATGAATTCCAAAGATTTTGATCCAAATGATGGCAGTGCTCACCAAGCGAAGAAACCGACGCCGTATTTGTATGTGAAAACGTAAACCATAGGGAGAGAAAACGCGATTGAATATAATTACTTAAGGCTGTAAATTATACGATGCTTTTGCCGTGATGCACTGAGGTGGAAATGTTAAATTTAATACTCGCAGACCTGTCAGCGTAGGCGTTGCAGATTTTTCGGAAGACGATGCAGCAGATCCTTCGCTGAAGTACCAAGATGTATTTTTATAACGCTGTATATATATATGTCAAATAATTTATTCCACTTTCATCGAATTTCATTTTGAATGTCTAATATTTTATTATTATTATTATTTTTTTTTTTTTTTGCAATTATGTGTGGAGTAAAAAGTAACAATTATGGTATAAAATCTTTATACAGGTAACTAAAGCCGAGTAACAAACCGCGTTTTTTGCGTCAATATCAGCCAGGACACTCACAAACACATGCCACAGGATAATTAAAAAGGCCTCACCTTCATCCAAGAAATGGATTTCAAATAAAGTTCTGAAATTAGGAAACATTACAACGGTGGAAAAGTCACTGTAGCCGAAATAACACGTCAGCATCGATATATATATATATATATATATATATATATATATATATATATATATATATATAGGGACAGAGAGAGTTTTTTTATTGGGTAGGGCATTTAATTTTTTATTTAGACTATGGAGTTCAAAATTTGTATTTATTATTTTATTGTTTGTTTGTTTTTTATGCTAATTATTCAATGTGAAAATTTGATGATGTCGGCAAAAAACCGTTAACTCATGTCTGTTGTTTAATAAACTTTCACATTGAATAATTAGCATAAAAACCAAACAAACAATAAAATAATAAATACAAATTTTAAACTCCATAGTCTAAATAAAAAGTTTAACTGTAGATAGATAGATAGATAGATAGATAGATAGATAGATAGATAGGGCGAGAGAGAGAATCTCTACTCCTTTAAGAAATTTAAAATTTTGTCTGTCTTTTTCGATGAAACGTGCATATATATATATATATATATATATATATATATATATATATATATATAATATTATTTGATAAATCGAAAGAGAACTCAATGTAAGAACAGAGCAAAGATAATAGTAATAATGAAAGCAAACATACGAACATTATGAGGGCTCATGATCAGATATAATAGAAATTCATTGTATGTTATATTTAACAATATATATATATATATATATATATATATATATATATATATATAATATTTGGACAAAACTCTGGTATGGGTTCCTGGCACTTCCCAAAGTTGGTGCATTCTGGGATTGTCTTCATTGGCCGATATTATCCAAAGGTCAGCTCGGTAACAAATGTAATTCTAAATAGGGGTTTATGTTCAGAACGCTAACGCCCTAATCCATCTGCCACGCCCCACGCCCCCATAGGTACTACTAAAGAAAAGCGATACCCAAAATTTACATTGAATTTTCAAAAATGAAAAACACTTTTTTGAAGCTTTTATTTTAGTTTTAATTTCAAGCTAACAGCTTAAATTTGATATTTCCAATAACTAATTTAAATTGACTGAAAAAAAAATTTAATCGTTAAAAATCGATGATTTTATCCTTTTTTAATCATCTTTCAGCAAAAAATAATTCTCTTTAGTGAAAAAAATCTTTTAAAAATAATCATTTTCTGAAACATTATATGGAGTAATATTACATAATTTAAAGTTTAATTAATGTTATTTTAAATAAATTTTTGCTTACTTTCATTTTAAAGTAAGGCAGAAATGTATTTTTTGTTTTACACGAACGTAGTTGTTTTCATTTAAGAGTTGAAAGCTTTATTGACAACCTGACAGTTTTAACTAAATTTAACTAATTTTCTCTACGGGGTTCATCTGTAAAAATTACTTGACGAATATAAAGTGAGTGCCTTAACACACACACACACACACACACACACACACACACACACACACACACACACACACACACACAAAAAAAATACAGTCGTACAGAAATAGGACAAATCTGTCCGGAAAATATCCAACAATTTTATCTAACGGTCATCGATAGAGAAATATCGAATTGGCATGCAGATTAGAAATAAGAGCCGAACCACTTTTCATAAGCTCGGATCCATTTCTTCCCCCCAGCTATGGATTAAATAGCAGAAAAACTTGAATCTCTATCCAGAAGGCGTTAGAGAAGGAATTGTGCCGATTATAGGAATACGGAGCATGCTTAAAGGTTAACCGTGAACATGAAGAGTTTAAGATTGTAGAGAAGCTTCTTTTCGGATGTCCGTTCAATAATGTATCGGCCCTTTGAAAGAGGCTGTCCGAATGGAACTTGCTGGTGACCAAGGCATACGAAGAACATGAGGAAAATTCACGGTATGATGCATTCTACATGTTAATGTCTGAACTGGAAAGATTGGATAGAGCCTATTGGGTAGTTCCAGATTTTGTATTCTGAATTCGATACCATTCCACGAACTTGTCCAAGATACCATACAAAATCATAGATGATGAAAAAGAAGCCGTGGAGAATCATGTTTGCTTACATCCTTAAAATATATGTCTTAAAATAATAAAAAAAAAACTTGAGTACCTAAGAAGGACTTCCCAAAAGTTTGGAAAATATGGCAATGAAAAAATAAACTTACCGGAGGGTAAGGATCTAGAGGGTAAGAACTCTCCAAAGGATCTAGATTATTTGCCACCCTATCTGGCGGCAAATAATCTAGATCTTTTGGGCCAGTTCTTGATTGGATCTTCAGTTGTTCAGGAGTTTGAGAGTCGCTAAGTCTTTGTATATTCTCAGCATTGGTAGGTCCCCTGGCTGCGGTTTAATCTGGGTTTTCATTTGAATGGGACTTTCTTTTCCTTATTTTCCACAGTTTTCTTCGAAGTACGAATTACAAAAAGCGAAATTTAGTCAAGAAATAATAATTCTTTCCCTGGCAATAAATTTACCGCTTCGTATCAATCCCGTGCTTTCCATTTGTACATTAACTCACCGAGTTAATGCTCAAAAAAGCTAGCGCTGTGAAAGTCCGTACAACATTCGGTTTGTGCATGTTGCACAATCTTAACCTCCTAAAATCTAGAGTCAGTCCTTACATATCCGCCATATCTTTGTTATCTTCACTTCCTATTTTACCCACTTCAGATCATATCACAGAACGCATTCACTAATGCACTACCTTATTTAAGTATTGCATTGATATTTAAGCTTCCCTTTTAAAAGCTCAATGATAATTCTTCTGCCACCACTAAATTTAAAGACAATATGATGTACATAGGTCCTTACTTTCCGTACAAACAATTATTTTTAGTTCATGGGTGGCTTTCGCTGGATTTCGCAGTTAATACCATTTATTTCCAAATTTATTTCCAAGTTATAAAAATTGATATCATACAAAAAATTGGTCAGCAAAAGTCACGTAAAAAATCGCCGAAAACAATCAATGAAAACTTGGGAATCCAAAATTTCATCATTGCGTGTCCGAATCTTTTTAATTTGCTCACGGAATCAGCCCGATACCAAAACGGTATGCTATATTGAGACACGGCCTCTAGGAGTAAAGTTGAAACGGGGACAATTTTATATTGAGACATTGTAATTGGAGAACAGTAATTTTTTCATGAGATATTGAAAGTTAGAGAGTTGCGTCCCTTTAAATGTTTTTATCAGTAGAAGCCAAGTTGGCGGAATCTAAAAACAATCGCTTTAATGAAAAATTGGGAATCCAAAAGTTCAGCATTCGGCCCGGAATATTTTTAATTTGCTCAGAAGGTCAGCTTGACTACAAAATGGTATATGCTAGGCTACACTGACAAACTGGTATTCGCATTTATTTATATAGATTTACGATTTTTTCATTCATTTAATCCGGACCAGATGTGACAGCAATGTTCAATGCTCGGGAAAAGGGCAGATTTATCACGATAAGATAGCCATTTTTTCCATAAACCCTTCCCACTTCATGCCAACTGAAAACTTTAGTTGGAGAAGACGCAATGAGTCACTTATCTGAAGGTTCGCATCAGCCATCATGAAAGGTGAAAATGATTCTCTCAGATAGTTAAAAGAGATCAGTTTCGTTTTTGAAGAATGCCGGAGAAAGCATCGTCCGAAAAGTCTTGAGTAAAACAAGCAACATCAGCATTTTTGCCTGAATAGTGGGAGGTGGGGTTATCTAATTCCAATTTCGAAGGTGTGGGGGTCACACCCACTCCCAGGTTGTATTTTTCCCACCTGCACTTAACTGGGGAGGCGGAAAGGTCAATCATTGGCACGTGAGGCGACCCAAGATAAAAAGTGCAATTTCTGGTGTCAATCTAGTCAGGCGCTCCCTGTTAACTTGGACCTTGTGTTAAACATGGCATCGTAGTTTCTGTGTGAATCTCTAAAATAAGGAGTTATTATTGTTTTCACTATTTACATTGTCCGCATCTTTGTTTTTGCTATCAAAACGTTTCGGTCGTAATGACTTGCGGCCTTCATCAGTTGTATATTGATCCAGCTTAACCTACTGGGAATTCCGGACAGTCTACTCACGCCAATTAAATAAAGACTTCACAATTGTTTAATTTATTTAAGGAGGCAGACTGTTCTCGTTCCACTGCCCATGTTTAGGGATATCTAGTCTAGTCCTTATTTTTAGTACTGCTCAGTTATTGCTTACTACTGTTTCCAATGTGTCCAAACACACACTCCCCGGCCCAGGGATTCCTAACTGAACCCTTTATTTAATCTACGGGGGTAGACTGTTCTCGTTACACTGCTCATGTCTCGGGATATCTCGTCTAGTTCTTATTTTTAGTACTGCTCAGTTATTGTTTACTCGTTTCCAATGGGTTCAAGCAAACACTCCCCGGCCTAGGGATTCCTAAATGAATCCTTTATTTAATCTACGGAGGTAGACTGTTCCCGTTCCACTGCGCATGTCTACGGATATCTCGTGTAGTTCTTATTTTTAGATACTGCTCAGTTAATGCTTGCTCTGTTTCCACTGAGACCAAGTAAAGATAGTCCACCACAGGAACTGAATAACGGATTATTTTTTTTTAGTCCTTAGGCCGGGCTGTGTGTTGAGCAGTACTAAAAATAAGAACTAGACGAGATATCCCTAGATATAGGCAGTGGAACGAGAACAGTCTACCCCGTGCATTAAATAAAGGGTTTAATTCGGAATTCCCTTTAGGTTAACAGGATCTATATACACCTGATGGACGCTGGAGGGAACAACAGTTGAAATGTTAATATAACAGCAACAAAGATGAGAACAACAGTCTGTATATAAAATGAGTAACCAATTCCTACTACAATGTGCATGAATAATTGGCTTACCAGCTTTCAATCAGAACCATCGCAGACATTCTGTTCTGACATTTATAAAATTCTTTTTGTTAGGATTGGTGCTTAAATTACAATTCGGAAGGAAATGTTGTCTCTGGAGTTTATTGACATTTCATAGACTTTTACTAATTTTTTTACGAGATCGCGTCGGTATTCCCAAGCAAGGAACATTGGACTTAAACGACTTATCCCATTCAGGATGAAGAAAGCGTTTTTTAAAACACATTAACCAGAGAATAACGCACTTAATTTTATCTCCATTGATTACCTACATACTTATATACACAACAACATAAATAAGAAATGGCGCGAATATCCGTGGTTTGCTTAGAGGCTAAGAAGATTCCTCGAAGAAGAAACAAGACATGTCCTGTTACACCGACATCTTGTCGTTTAGGCGAGGAAAGACAGAGAAAGAGTGGTTGCGTTCTTTCCTTTTATTCTGTTTTATACAACGCCACCTAGCGAGCGTTAAGAGAAGTCTCCTGTCAGAAAATTGTGGTAATCCTACAATGGTATTCTAATGGCATTTTAATACCATTGTAGGAGACGAATTAAAAAAATAATCGTGATTGGTATATATTTTTCCTCCTATATGAAGTTGAATGTGAAACAATTC